CCGCAGCAGACCGGCTGTGCACTGTTTGCCTCTCTGTGAGTGCGCTCTCCTGGGGGTTGTGAAAACGTGGTGGCCTGGTGTAGAAGACCAGGTCAGGGGTGCTTGTTCTGCTCTGCCAGAACAGCGGCGTTCAGAAGCAGATTTCTGGGCTGTTGCGGTGGCGTGAGCTCTTGCGGCTGCAGGGGGCTGAACGAGGAGGTGGGTTGCATGGCGAAACCTGCTATTGCAGAGGAGAGTTTTCCCTAGAGAGGTGTAGAAAGAGGAGAAGAGGGCCAGTGATCTGGTCTTGCCGCAGCCCCTGCAGCCCGGAGAGTGGGTGGGGACGTGTAGGCTTCCCCGTGCCACTGGGAATGAGCTTAAGTCTGGGAAAAAAACTGTATCGGAGAAGAAGCAATGAGGCTGTGCCCAGCCTGTCCATCCCCAGCCCTTCTACCAGGAGCCGTCAGGGCCTGCTCACTCTGCCTGGGCGAGGCACCCTGTCCGACGGGAGAGGCTGCAGAGCTGGTGCTGCTCCTTTGCCTGGCAGTGCTGGCTGGGCATGGCACAGGCGAGCTGTTCCCCTCTGGTTGCGAGGTCCTGGAGAGCCCTCGTGTGCTACGTCGCAGTGCGGGTCTCGGGGCTTGCTGCCTTCTTCTGCCAGCCGTCGAGGAGTTGCTCATGCTGGCTGGGGCTGCCGGCTGTTTCAGCAGGTCTCATTCTTCCCCTTATAGCCCGTGGCCCCAGCCAAGCACGCGGTGTGTGTTGTTGCAGCGTCCTCTTCCTGCAGCAGCCGTGCTCCAGCTGTGCTGCTGTGGGGTGGCGTGCCGTGCCGTGGTAGGACACGCTGCCCTGTTGGGTACGAGGGTTGTGCCGAAGGCACGGTCCCCCTGGCCCTGTGCACTGGGGGGATTTGGGCTGCTGCTGGCTTGGAGAGGCAGCGGGCAGCTGGCTTGCCCTCGATGCTTGTGCTCGCCCCTTGCTTGGGTGGACGCCCAGTGACCGGGTCTGTTTTCTCTTGCAGAGGACGATCTCTCTGGGAGCAGGGGACAGGCAGGTGATCCAGACACCCATCAATGACTCGCTTCCCGTCAGCAGCTGCAGCGTGGCCCTGCTCTTCCGCCAGCTTGGTGAGACTTCTCCCCACGCCTCCTTCTCATCGGGTCTGGTGCCAAAGCCAGCTGGCCGAGTCCTGGGCTGGAGTTCCCTGCACGTCGCTTCCCACCACGCTCCCGAGCCTGGCTTGTCAGCTCAGGGCTCTCTTCCAGCTGCAGCCACCTCAGACTGAGCCCTCCCTGGCCCCGCTTTGCTTTCCCTTTCCCAGGAGGGCGGGAGACTGGCGGCTCTCCCCAGCTCGGGTGCAGACGTGTGGCCAGATCTCATGAGAAACAGCCTGGGTGGCAGGAACGGCTGCCCGGAGGTGTGCCACGTTAGCCTTGCGCCTCTGGTTAAAGGACACTGGCAGCTCAGCAGAGCTGCTGAGCGTCTCTCCGAAGAGGGGCTTCCTTGGGGGAGCACATACCTGGGTGACCCAGAAGTGGCTTTTTGGGAGGATGTTGAAGTCCTCTGTTGTGCAGAATGTGGAGATGGGGAGTGGGATCCAGCTCGGGTGGGGTTTAGTGGTCTCCGGTGGGGTGCGAGAGGGGAACCCTCGTTTCTGAGCGCTCTTCTCTCCTTTTCTTCCCAGGCATCACCAATGTGCTGTCTCTCTTCTGTGCAGCGCTTACTGAACACAAGATCCTGTTTCTCTCCAGCAGTTACCAGAGGCTGACCGACGCCTGCCGGGCTCTCCTTGCACTTATGTTCCCCCTCAAGTACAGGTGAGGGAACCCCACCGCTCCTCAAGCCCCTCAGCCCTCCGACAGCAGCCTAGAGCCAGCTAGGGCACAGCTGCCTGCCGAGCCTGTGCTGGCTGTCCTGCCTCCCCCTCGCTTCACGCCCTCACTGCCTCCTGGTTTCATAGCTAGTATTACTGGTAACTAGCTCTGTTTTGGGCACTGCCGGCGAAGGGGCGGGTGAATGCCCACAGGTCTCGGCTGTGCTGAAAGCCCCTTTCCTGAAGCCTTTGGCATGCGCAGCAATGTAATTCCAGAGCGTGTCCATGGCAGCAGAGGGGTGCAAACCTTCCACCCCTGCCTCCCTCCTCTCTAGGGCAGGACCAGGGCTCTAGCACTGCAAGCAGAGAGCAAGGCATTACCAGCAGTGTCTGTAGCTCCAGGAGCTGCCAGCATGCACTATTCCTAGCCATGGCAGCTCTTGACAGAGGGAAGCAAGCCCGTCAGGCTGTGGGACATGGTCCGGCAGTGCGTAATCACCCCGTGGTGTGCATGGGAGAGGCCAGAGGTGCTTATCTCTCCAGAATCCGTCCCCTTTCCCTTCTCTCAGCTGCAGTGCGGCCCGTGCAGAGCACAGAGTGCCAGTGCACCGCTTCCGCTGGCAGCAGCCCCGAGCACAAAGTCTCGCTGAACGGGGGTGCGGGATGCTAGGAGGCTTCCAGAGAGCCGTGGTGCAAATTCTGCCCTCCCTAGAAAGTGGCACACGCGTACAGGGCTTTTGTTAAGGTGCCGGTGGTGGTGGCCAAGCCGCCGCGGTGACTCCTGCGGGACAGCAGGCACCCCGCTCGCCCCAGCCCCGGGGAGCTGGTGATGCTGTTGACCCGCGGGGGCCCGGCCGGGGAGGGGGACGCCGGCTCGCAGACTGGCCGCCACTGGGGCTGTTTGCACATCTCCCCAGTAGAGTAGGACAGTTGAGATAGACAGGCCATTGTTGCTGCCAGCTCCTGTCGCACTGTTTCCACGCTGGCCTGCCATACCCCCAGGCTGCAGAAAGGCTATTTGTATTCCAAAGAAAGCTTTCTTTCGGAGTTAAATTGCTCTGCTGGAAACCTTTCCCTCAGTCAGGCTTAGATTATAACTCCAGGGCCAGAGAATGATCGTGGTCAGTGTCCATGAGCCTTCAGAAACCTTGCGCAGCTGGAGGGCACGTACTGTCTGAAGGGCTGAGAGTGCCAGGAGAAAGCCTGCCTTCCTGGGGAAATAGTCACCCCACAACCTCCTGGAGGTGGGGATCATCAGCTGGTGTCGAGGACGGTGCTTGGGTAGAGAGCAGGGCTCGACTGGCTGCAGCGATGCTCTTTTTCGGTTGCAGTTTCACGTATGTGCCCATCTTGCCTGCACAGCTCCTTGAGGTACTGAGCACGCCAACACCCTTCATTATCGGAGTCCACTCCATCTTCCAGTCGGAGACGCAGGAGCTGGTGAGACGCCGTGTACCCCGTCCCTTGTGCCGGGAGCAGAAGCGGTCCAAGGAAGAAGCAGGGGTCGTGTGCCAGCAGTCTCAGATAGCAGCAAACGTTGTCCTGAGGGTGCCCGGGGCAGCAGGCTGACCACGCCGGCTCGCACAGGCTCTGCTTGTTCAGGCTGGCCAGCCCGGGCTGCGATCCAGACGTGCCGCACAAGCCAAGCAGGGCTGGCTGGGCCACACGTCGTCGGGGCTTTGGGCTGCAGAGCCTGCACACGAACGGCTGGGGTTAACCGAGGATTTGATTTTGAAACTCAGCTGGCAGTGCTGGTCCAAGAGGCTGTGTTGGCACTTCAGACTTCAGTTCAGAAACTGAATTAAATCAAAGCATAATGAGTCTGATCTAAACTGAAACAAGCTTTTGTGCAGCCTTTTGAACAAACTGCAGCGTGCCACTTTGGTTAAGCAGGATGGCCTCTGTGTTGGGCTGGGGTCAGTGTTTGACGCCTCACCCAGGCTGATAAGGTGCCGAGGAGTCTGATGCCACAAAGTCATGGCAGGTGCCTGCTGAGCAAAGCTGCGTCCCTCTCCTTGCCAGGTTGTCCTCCCCCTGCCACCTTCGTTGCAGGGGGTGATGGGATCCCGTTAGAGCTTGTGTATTGGCAAATGCTAGGGTTTGGTGACAATGGATAAGAGAAAATAACTTCTGAGGGCTAGAGTGCTCACAGAAGATGGGGAGGAGACAGGCGCTGTTCCCAAGTCCTCCTCTCCTGAGCTGGGCTTACCCCCTCGCTAGCTCTCCGTCGCCCAGCGGGAGGTGGTGAGGAGGGTGTTGGAAAGCCTGGCCTTGTCTCATGCCTGTCCTGCCACTTCCAGCTGGATGTTGTTATCGCAGACCTGGATGGCGGGACAGTGAATGTCCCCGAGTGTGTACATATCTCCCTGCTCCCTGAACCTCTGCTCCAGCAGACCCGGGAAGCCCTCTCCATGGTAAGTGCTGCAGCCTTTCCCCTGTCTGCAGGGTGCGAACACCTCGGGAATGACACACATTTCCAAGGGGGGCTGGAAACGGAGCAGCAGGGACTCCTCTGAGAGCAGAGGTCCATATCTCAGGGTCCTTCTGACCACGTCCCAGGAGATCTTTCCTGATCCTGATGGCCTCTGGTGCGTGGCAGTGCCAGAGGGGGGGTTCTTCTGCCAAAGGTTTCTGGGAATCGGGCGGCTGGCTCCCAGCCTGTGGGCAGGAAGCAGCTGCGGCCCTGAAGCTTTTCTGGCTGCTCGCGTGTTCCCAGAGACCTCCGGCCATGCGAGAGCGTGCCCAGGACAGCCGCGCCAAACAAATGCTGCACGCCTCAGCTTCTGCTCCTCGACTGTGGCTGGGGGGAGCGGGGGGGGGGGGG